GTGTGTATATTGCAGAACTCAGATATAATGACTAGTTTGTCATGAGCAGCTCAGGCCTCTCACACAGATATCACACACCGGACAGGAGAAGAGGTTACTCAGGGAGAGCACAAACACACACACAGCAGACAGAACAGAGTGGACGCTCAGAGGACAATAAGGAGGAAGAACAGCTCACATTACACACACACACCCCCACTGAGACACATTATTAGAGCACCACACACACACACACACACACACACACACACACACACACACACACACACACACACACACACACACACACACACACACGCACACCTTGCTTTGTCTGATAATGTTTACAGAATTCATTCAACCACATGAAAAAATCCTTTGAATAGGTCAAACACTATAGGATTTACTGTAGATCCCCACAGTGTGTTTAACCATACCATAGTGAAGTACTCCAATACATAATCTGCTCTGGTGATTACACTGTCGCTACGGTAACATGGCAACTATAGTAACTGATGTGACGTGGTGATTCTACAGTTGCTATGGTAACACAGCAGCTATAGTAACTGATCTGTGTAGTGATGTTTAGTAAAACTGGAGTACACTACAGTATGTATCAGTTCAGTATAGTTATTACTACAGCATGCTGAAGCGTTCATTAACAGTGGGTTGTGAATACTGTCGTATATACTTTACTATGGTTCATTTTACTATAACATACTGTAGTATATATATATAAATATATCATATTTAAAAAGTATGCCTTACTGAAACTGAAACACACACACACACACGCACACATTTCAATAACATTCAATGTATGTGTGTGTGTTTGAGTCCATAAGGAATCAGTGACTGATGAACAATTAAGAGGAGCTAATTAAAATGAAGATGTAACGATGCTGGTGTGTTACATCAGTGTTGTGCCACCCAGCGTATGTGTGTATGTGTGTGTGTGTGTGTGTGTGTGTGTTTGTAACATATCAGGACACTTGTTTAATGTCAAGTGCATGACACAGGTGTTACAGGAGAAGGTGACATGACCAGGCCCACACAGAATCAGCGCGCGCAGAATTCTGCAGACGTTTAGCCCATCATTGATTCTGCTTATTTACTGGAGCAATTGTGTGTGCATTTATATTTATTCAGTTTTTAAGGTAATTTCAGTAATATTATACACTAATATGAAAATATTTATATGATTTATGCACAATGCAGTGTGTACAGTCATGTGTTCTGTCTTTAGTACAGATATCATATGAGAGACTTGATTTGTTTACCAAATACGTGGATCTAATTAAATTTGCATTGTAAACATTAAATACAAGTTTAAAAGGTATTATTTATTATTTCATACATTACGGTTTTAGTTATAATACTCCCAAAATTAATCTGCAGATTTATAACAAAATTCTGCGCAGAAATAGCAAAAACTGTGCGCAGATTCCGTCTGGCACTACTGACCAAATGTCCCCACAAGTATAGCAATTCCAGCAAATGTTGACCTTGTAGAGACACTGTTTTGGTCTTCATGAGGAGCAGGGCTGAACAGGGCGACAGAATGAACAGTGGAGATGTAGAAGAGCAGAGTGTTTACTGTGAGGGGCCAGTTTAGAGAATATACATGTGCAGTAAACACAGCATTACACACATGGAGAGAGAGAGAGAGAGAGCAGAGTGTGTGTGTGTGTGTGTGTGTGTGTGTGTGTGTACATCATTACTCACGCTGATTCTCTGTTCTGCAGACCCACAGATGATTGTGTCTCAGCGGGTTTGATCTTCACCTGCGACACACTGAGCTCGGCTGTCAGGTCACGTGACGCAGCAGATTCTGAACTCCTCCATGATGCAGAGGCGAGTGTAGAAGTGAAGTGTGTGTGAAGAGTTATTCTGGGCTCCAGAGGATGACTCACGCCTCATCAAACACGAATGTTCATCACTGTCTCACACATTTACACTTCATTTCAAACATGTCCAGGCTGCTCAACATCAGACCCACATCTCAGAACACTAACAAGCCAGAGAAATAGTTTGTTTGGAGATATATATATATGAATAATTTGTCAAAATAATTATTAA